CACACGCATGCGCCGCTCCCTGCTTCTGGTTCCCGGCACCCTGAGGTCCCGCCTCCCGGCCTGCAGCGCGGTTCCGCTTAAGTAGACGCATGCGCACCCCCCTGCTTCCTGTCCTGGCGCCCTGACGGGCGCGCCCGTCCCTCCCCCAGGCCTCTCCGCGCGTTCACGATTAGGCTCACGCATGCGCACCTGCCGGTCAGTCGCCAGCGCACACACTGTTAAGCGCCCGCGTCCGTCGGTCGTCCCCAGCTCTGGCTCGGTCAAGGTTCCCCCCTCCTCCGATCTCCGACTCCCTCCAAGAAAATAAATGAAGTGTAATAGGGATATAATAAAGTGCATAAGGATCAAGTACACACATCGATGAATTTGCACACATTCATGCAATCCGTGCACGCCCAGTACGTAGCCTCCATCTGAACAGGTCCCACGGGGCCTGTCTTCCTCCTGTTCTTAGTGAAATGAGAGATGCGCGCAGTAAGCAAAGGAAAGGCTTTTTAAACAGAGGAACGCGACTTGGAAGGCTTTGGAAATTTTCAGTCTCTACAGGGGACAAAAGATATTGAAATTAAACAATAGTGGGGCTCTGGTGGGCTAGTGGTGAGAGGCTGCGCTGCAATCCCAAAGGCCAAGGGATCAAATTCAACAGCGGCTCCGTGGGAGAAGGATGGCTGTGTCCTTCCGCTGCTTTGTTGATGCTGTTAGGTGTTGTTTCCGATTTTTCTGAGGAGGATTTGAAGCGCTTGCTGCAGAGGGTCAAGGACTACAGCTTTCAATATGGATCGAGGCTCAATATCAAGAAAACAAAGATTCTCTCCATTGAGCCAATTGGCAGCATCAGGATGGATGGTGAAGAGATTGAGATTGTTCACAGCTTTAGTTTGCTTGGCTCCACGGTCAACACTCTTGGTACCAGCAGCCAGGAAATAAAAAGATGTATTGCGATGGGAAAGTCTGCTGTTAGGGACCTCTCCAAAGTACTGAAGAGCGATGGTGTCATTCTGGAGACTAAGGTGTGTCTGATACCATGGTCTTTGCAATCACTTGTTATGCGTCAGAGAGTTGGACAATGACTAGGGAGGATAGAAGGAGGATTGATGCCTTTGAGCTGTGGTGCTGGAGAAGAGTATTGAGGGTACCATGGACTGCTAAGAAAACAAACAGATCTATCCTGGAGAGGTTAAACCAGGCTGCTCCTTGGAGACAAGGATTCTGAAGCTTTTTCTGACATACTTTGGACATGTTGTAAAGAGGGACCGGTTCTTGGAAAGGGACAACAACAATTAGGTGCTGTCGTGTATGACTTCTAGCGACCCTAAGAACAGAGCTGAACGCTACCCTATACTGTGCCACCCTCATTATCTGACACACAGAAGCCCACTGCTGCCATCACTGTGTCAATCTGGTTGACAGTCTTCCTCTCCTTTTCTGTCCCACCCTCTTGCCAAACATGTTGTTGTTATGTGCCATCGAGTCACCTGCGACTTATAGCGACCCTATGTACAACTGCCCTAAACCCTGCTCTCTCCTGTGCCAACCTCACTGTCTCTGACACACACCCCCTGATTACCCCAGTCACTGAATCAATCCACCTCATACTGTGTCTTCCTCTCCTACACTGTCCCTCCACCCTCCCAAGCAGGATGTCCCTCTCCAAGGACATATCAAGATATCAAGACATATCAATATCAAGACATATCAATCCATATTGAAGGCTACAGTCCTTGACCCTCTGCAGCAAGTGCTTCAGGTCCTCAGTTTCAGCAAGCAGGGTTGTGTCATTTGCATAACAGAGATTGTTGATAGATCTTCCACCAATCCTGATGCCACATTCCTCCTCATAGAGCCCAGCCTTCCGGATAATCTGTTCTGTATATAGGTTGAAAAGGTATGGAGATAGGACACATCCCTGGCGTACACCCTTCCCAATTTTGAACCATGCAGTGTTTCCTTGCTCTGTTCTGATGACTGCCTCCTGGTCCAAGTCTAGGTTTTGCATTAGCACAGCCAACTGTTCTGGGATTCCCATTTTTCTCAGAGTCAGTTGCAGTTTGTTGTGATCCACAGAGTCAAACGCCTTTGCATAATCAATGAAACACAGACATTCCTCTCATACTCCTTGCTTTCAGCCAAAATTCATTGTATTAGCAGAAATATTGCATCCTGGACAGAAAGGATAGACACAAATGTGGAATGAAAGATCCTTGGACTTTGTAATGGGTTGTCTCACCTCCCCCCCACCTCAAAATCTACTGGAAATCCTAACTTATACACAACTTCAGTGTTCATACTGATCATAACAACATCCTCCTGAACAAAGGGAAAATAAATATATGTTCGCTAAAGCCATACATTTGTGGTATTTCTTTTATATCAGCATTGGATAATTAAGATAGACTTTCAGTTTTACAAGGAATAGCCTGTCCTAACAATCTGTCCAGAATATGTGATATTAAGCTTCACCGTCTTTGCTTCCAGGGAACATTCTGGTTGCACTTTATCCAACACACGTCTGTTTGTTCTTTTGGCAGTCCTTGGGATATTCAGCACTCTTTTCCAACACGGCAGATCAAAGGCACCGACTCTTCTTCTGTCATCCTTATGCATTGTCCAGCTCTCAGATGCATACTAGGTGATTGGAAAGACTGGCTTGAATGGGCTGCTCTCCAGAACATTGGAGAGGTCCCTGACAGTCGGCTTTCCTGATAATACACACCTCCCAGTCTCCTGACTGCTGGTACTGCATCAGACTCAGATATGTTCAGGATGATTAAGGATGGTGCAGGATAGGAGAGAGTTCTGATCTCTTGTTCATGGGATAGCTGTGGGTGGTATGCTGCTCAACACCACTTCAGAACAACTCACAATCTCACAGGGTAGGAAGCAGTGTGAGAGCGCCCTAGGCATCTTTGATACCTTTCACAGAAAACAGAGGGATAGCAGCACAGGCAACTGAGAGTTCTGAGGGTTGAGATGAGAGTCAAGACGTGAGGCTCATTCATTCCAGAATTTCTCTGAGCTGTATCGTTTCCCCATATCTGTTTAATCTGTATGTAGGGCAAATAATTCCAGGAGGAGTAATTTATGAAGAATGTGGCATCAGGGTTGGAGGAAGACTCATCAGCAAACTGCATTATGCATATGACACAATGTTACTTGCAGAAAGGGAAGGAGACTTGAAGCACTTTCTGATGAAGATCGAAGATGGTAGCTTTCAATATGAATTATACATCAATGTCAAGAAAACAAAGCTTCTCCCCATTAGAGCAGTAGACATTATCACAGGTAGAGAAAAGATTAAGGTTGCCAATGATTTTGTTTTATGTGATTTACAACCAATACCATTGGCACCAGCAGTCAAGAAGTCAAAAGATGCACCTGGTGGACCCTGCCAGTAGCATATGCTTGTCTCAGAAACTAGGCCTGTCTAAGTGCTCAGGGCCTGTCCAGTGAAGCTGCGAACGACTCATGAAAGCAGCTACGGTTCCTTTGGTCTCCTCTCCTACTTGGGTGACTGTGGTAGTTCTAGAGTTAACACGTGGCTAATCCCCTTTGCCGGAATGTGTGCATTTATCAGATCAAAAGCACCCAGTGAGCACTGCTGTGAGCACTGCCCTGGCCGCCAGGAGGGGGAGGTTGGAGAGTGGGGCACTGTCTGGCAGGAAAAAAAAAATCAAATATCAAATGATGTATATTGCCCTGGGAAGATCTGCTGTCAGGAACCTCTCCAAAGTGTGAAAGAGCAGGGATGTCAGTTTAAAGTGTAAAGTGCCCTGGACCCAAGTCATGGCATTTGTGTTTGCTTCCTATACACCTGGGATCTGGACAGTGAACAAGGGAGACAGGGGAATTACTGACGCCTTTGAATTACAGTGTTGGAGAAGAGTACTGACATCCCACGACCTGCCGAAAGTACAACCAGCTGGTCCTTGGGGGTAAGGAGGGAGAAATTGCATCTCACAGATTTCATGCATGTTTTCCTGCTGAGAAAGGTCAAGGAAAGAGGGGGGAACCTTCAGCAAGATGGATTGACACAGAGACTGTACCGTGGGCTCAGATAGGTGTGAGAGGGTGAGACGGTGCACGGCAAGGTTCCCCTTGTTACTCATGGGGGTGACCCCAGCAGTCACAGCAAGGTGTCCACCAGCACTGTGTCTTGAATGTGTGGGGGCAGCTGGCGTGACTCTTCCATTTCACAGACGACGGATCAAGAAGAACTGTACTTCAAGAGCTAGACCTAGACCTAAGGAATTACATGCAATGAGTTTAATTCACAGTTGACCCAGTGACAACATTCTGGGCTTGGAGGTCACGCTGGGGTAGGGTGGGGTGGGGCTTTGGGTGGTGGTGATTTGCACGTGAGGTAGCCATGAAGGAGTGGCCTGAGGACAGACTGTGAGCCAGCTTTCCCGATGATCCCTGAGAGTCTCCCTCAAGAGTTGTCCTTCATGAACCCCCAAACCTTCACTAGACCCAATACTGTAGAGTCACTTTTGAATCATATCTCCCTACAGGACAAAGGAGGATTCTTAGGAGGGTTTCAAGGCTGTGCGTGCTCCTGGAGCAGACGGCCTTCTCTTGCTCTGGACAATCAATGGGTGGTTTCCGCCTACTGTCCTTCGCAGCTCAGTGCTTAATCACTGCACCACCACAGCACCTCTGATTATGAGAAGTTCCTACTTTTGAAAAAGACAACTTACCAAACCAGAAATTTCTGAGAGTGAAAAGTGACACTTGCCAATCAGGTCCGGAGAAGTCACGGCCGCGGCTCCAGGCGGCAATCCTGCTGTGGGGCCACGGTGCCCAGGGCCCACCCTAGAGTCATGGGGACTCAGACGCACAGTGGTCGAGCTTGTTCAAAGTCACTTAGCAAGTCACTGGAGGAGCAAGGGGCTGGTCCCAGGAGTCCTGGGGAAAGTAAACGGTCACACAGAGTCACCCACTTGTTGTGGGGCTGGAGTCCACTCACAGAGGCCCCTCCAGCAGGGTGTTTCGAGGCTGTGCATGGGTTTGGAGGAGAGTGTCTTTCTTCTCACCACAGAGTGAGCCTGGAGGGCTTCAAACAGCCAGAGGCCTCTCCTTTGCACACTGCCC